AGCACGTATGCCACCTTGCCCCTTAAACATCACCCAAATGCTTAGCCCCGCAAAGAGAAATATCATAGCAAAACTTGCGTACAGCATAAAATGGGGCGGCCACAAAAAATCATCGCCAAATCCGCCATACAACTGATGCCAACCTTGGTCCCAAACGCCCCCTACAATGGAATAAAACCCACACAAGCTAACGAATATCCCCGCCAGTTGGCGTATTTCGGGTGAGTGCTGGTTTTGGCGAATATCTGCTAGGTGAGTAGGGAATGGGCTAACAAATAACCACCAAATCAAGAAACCATAACCAATGAACATGCCAATCACCAGCCCTAAACCTAGCCATAGGGTTGGTCCGCTGGCAGTATTGCCCCCCCAGCGCGAAATGGCTATCAGAAAAACAATGATAAGCGCAATACTCATCGTTGTGGGAATCACTCGCTTAAGTTTTAAGATAATGGGTGGGTTCATGGCAAGTGGATAATGAGAATGGAAAACAGTTGAATGATGTTCTAAATTTGCACTTAAATTGTAACGTAAAAATCGAATTTGGGTGAGTGATAGGCGTAAGGTGTGCAATCAAAGTCTGAACGTAGTCATTCATTTACAGGTAGCGCGACTAAAATCTGGCAAACCCACAAACCCAGCTTTATCCACTGCCCTGCGGTTTACTGCCGAATTGACTATATTTTCTGATACACCCCTTGCTGGGACACTTCTACACTTCTACAACTTCTTAACTTATTTTCCAAAAATACAGGTAAAATAGGCAACTATGCAAAACATATTTCTCACACTCACCCTACTCTGTGCAGTGCTATTCACTGCATGTTCTGCACAGCCATCCCCATCCACAGGAATTACCATGCCATCAGGACTACAATATATCGAAATTCAAGCCGGAAGTGGCGAACAAGCCAAAGCGGGCGATGTCGTCTCCGTACACTACACCGGCACTTTACAAGACGGTACAAAATTTGATAGCTCACTCGACCGCAACGAACCCCTCTCCTTTGTTCTCGGGCAAGGCATGGTGATTGCTGGCTGGGATGAAGGCATTGCCCTAATGAAAGGCGGCGGCAAAGCCAAACTCATCATCCCCCCACAGCTTGCCTATGGCGAACAAGGTGCAGGCGGCGTAATTCCGCCCAACGCCACCCTGATTTTCGAAGTCGAATTGGTAGATATACAGTCGGGAGCCCCCAATGAAGTTGCCGAAACTGACTTCACCACCACTGCCAGCGGCTTAAAATATGCCGACCTAGAACTAGGCAATGGCAAAATAGTGACCGCAAATAGCAAAGTAGACGTGCATTACACCGGTTGGTTGCAAGATGGCACCCGCTTTGATAGCTCCTACGACCGCGGACAGCCCTTCACACTGGTTGTGGACGCTGGACAGGTCATCAAGGGCTGGGATGAAGGCTTACAAGGAATGAAAGTCGGGGGCGTGCGCCAATTGATTATCCCTGCCGAACTCGGCTACGGCACACGCGGCGCCGGCGGCGTCATTCCCCCCAATGCCACGCTAATTTTTGAAGTAGAAATTGTGGCAGTACGCTAAACCCGTTCTCCCCTGCCAAAAACCTGTCTTGCAGGCGACCTGCACTGACAAACCGCAAAACCTATGCTCTCACTCGCACTGTTTTTTCTCCGATTGGGCTGTATCTCCTTTGGCGGACCCGCCGCGCACATCGCGTTACTCCATAACGAGGTCGTGACGCGCCGCAAATGGCTGACCGAAACAGAATACTTAGACCTGCTCGGCGCAACCAACCTAATCCCCGGACCCAACAGTACCGAAATGATGATGCACATCGGCTATCGGCAAGGTGGCTGGCTAGGCTTAGTGCTCGGTGGTGCGTGTTTTATCCTGCCCGCCATGCTCATTGTACTCCTGCTCGCTTGGGTATACACCACCTACGGCACATTGCTCCGCCTAGAAGGCATACTCTATGCAGTTAAGCCAGTCATCCTTGCCATCGTGGCACAAGCCCTATGGTTAATGGGAAAAAAACAAATCCGTCAGATTTGGCAAGCCCTGCTGGTTGGGCTGGTTGTGGTAGGCTACTTCGTGGGCATGCACGAGTTACTCTTGTTGGCGTTGGCGGGCATGTCCGTGCTCTTATGGCGCGTGCCCCGCGCTCTACCTGCCGTTCTACCCGTACCCATCAGCCTGCCCATCTGGCAATTTTCCCCACCATCAGCAGATACCCTCCCCACCTTGTTTTGGACATTCCTAAAAATCGGGAGCGTACTCTACGGCAGTGGCTATGTACTACTTGCCTTTCTGCAAAAAGATTTT